GGCATGGGCTGCGGGAGTAAGGGGGAACAGGGTTTGGTACTGGTGAACAGAGTTGTCCTACTGATGAACTACGGGGTGTTGCAAGAAACGGGGTAGTCCTACAAATTAACTAAAGGGAAGATAGGGAGCAGGGTGGTCCTACTGATGAACTAAGGGGAGGTTGCGAGGAACAGGGTAGTCCTACAAATGAACGAAAGGGAAGATAGGGAGCAGGGTGGTCGTACTGATGAACAAAGGGGACTCATGGTCCGCTATCGGTTAAGGGGGAACAAAATTCAGGGCACAGGGAACTTCTATTGATGTTCTAGTGGGTACGGGGAACAATGGTTAGGGAAACAGGGATCTGCTAATGATGGTCTACAGGGTTGTCAAAGTCAGGGAAAATAAAGATGAAAATGTTTGTTCAGGATGCAAAGGCTGGTGTGTCCGAAGGAGTCGGAAGCAGAATCTCATGTAGGAACAGAGTGTCCAAGTGCCTTGAAAGGGGGTCTGCAGCGGTCCTGATCAGGTCTTTGGAGCAGGTGGTAGAAGCGGTCTTCAGAAGCTGCGATAGGTAGAAGTCCAAGAAGCGTAGTAGTAGTTCAAGTGTCAAAGTCCAAAAGCTAGGGTGCGTCCAGTACACGAACTGCAATGAGGTCTGATCTGGAAGCAAGGAAGTCGCGGACTGATGCAAAGATCCATGTCACAAGTTGCTGCTCCAGTAAGTCCGCGAGTCGGGATGCCGGCCAATGAAACAGCATGGTGGCGAAACCAGCTGCATAATCTCCATGAACAGTGAGGCAGCAGGCCATCGTCCTCGTGCGCTTCCCATTAGATCCTCTATCGTCGGCGTCACGCAAGTTCACAAGCATTGGACAAGAGAGACAAAGGTAGTGGAGAGGACAGATGGGACAAGGCTAGGCGAGGGCAAGGGCAGATCAGACATCAAGAATGAGGATCAAGGGAAGGGTGGTCTGGGTTCAAGGGTGTGTGTAGGGCAGGGTTGCAAGGGTTTAGCGGGGTTTTATGCCATAGTGATATAGGTATCTAGGACGTAGGATTAGCGCGATCATAGGCGCGGATACTTTTCATGGCGTTCTTAAGATTGGAGAGAGGTTCCCATGTAGATTCTTCGTCGGGGTATCCGGTCCATTTGACTTTGTATTCAGTGATTGGTTCCGGATGATCAGATACCTGAGTGGTTCGTCGGTCGATGATGGTTTCGACAACGAATTCAGGGCCTGTGGGCAGCATGATTGGTGGAGGTCTAGGATATGGGCGGTCGGCGAACTGGAGCGGGGATTCATGGTATTCTTTTAGGTACTCGACACGACTCATGTTAGGGGGGAGTTGGAGTTTGTAGTTGACGGGGGAGGTTTGTTCAATGATGGGGAAGGGACCGAGCCACTTGTTCGAGAGTTTCTTGGACAATCCTTGTTCGGGCTCAAAGCGTTTGGCAAAAAGCCATACTTTGTCCCAATCGTGTTGGTGTGGATGACAATACTTCCGCAGGATTCTTTGGAGTGTATCGTTCATTTTGTCTGTTTGTCCATCGGTCTGTGGGTGGAATGCAGTGCTATACTTGAGCGTGGTTCCGTAGGCCATGAAGAGGTGTTTCCAGAATTGTGAGAGGAAGCGAGGATCACGGACACTAATGATGTTCTCGGGGAGGCCGTGATGGCGAGCAACATGGTCGAAGAAAAGTGTGGCGACGTCTTTGGCACTGTGCGAGGTTGTGCAAGGGACGAAGTGGGCACGTTTGGTCAAGCGACAGACAATGACGTAGATGCAATCATGCCCGCGGTCGGTTTTGGGGAGGCCGCACACGAAGTCCATGGAGATGGACTGCCACCGGTGAGTTGGGATGGGCAATGATTGGAGCTTGCCGGGCTTGGCCCGATTTGAGGGGTTGACAGCTTGACACGTGGGGCACGAGCGAATGCATGCCTTAACGTCGGCGAGTAGGGAAGGCCCGTAGAAGTAGCGGGAGATGGTGTCGAAGGTCTTCTGGAAACCGAGATGTCCTCCGGTCTTGGCGTCGTGGTGCTCGGCCAAGAGCTGAGTAAGGAGGCCTCGTGCGTCAGGGATGCAAAGTCGG